CCGGCCCAGCCCCCCACCGTATCCCGGGCTCGACTCCGCTGTAGCATAATATTGTCCACTTTGGGCCCCGACCACGCCCTCACTGTTTTGTTTCTGGAAACTCACACGAGAACTTCCCAATAAGTCACCCATCTTGGGATTGCTCTCGTGCGAACTTGCTTAACTTTGGAGTTCCGATGGAACCCAAAGCCAATGAGTTCCTAAAAGGCCTCATGCTAGGTAGAGATGGGAATATACATATAAGGCTTAAAGGATCCACTCCCCTGGACAATGTGGGATGTTACACCAGTTCCCTCAAATTAATCTAAAAAAATTGCATCCCAATAATCATAGTGTTAACTTAATTTGGGAATTGGACAATAAGCGGTGGTGGAGAGAGGTGGAGAAGGTGGTGATGGCCTGTTGGGGATACCTAGGGGTAAGTGTAAGTGAATAGTTAAGATTTGGGAAGGGGTGTGCTATCTACACACCCCAAAGTACTTCTCACACACCCTTGTTAATTTCTATCTGTTGATCTTCTTCAATTCATCTGATCTGACGGTTGAAAATTATAAGGGTGTGTGAGAAGTAAAATGGGGTGTGTGGATATCACACCCCATTTGGGAATTAAGGGGATGTAAAGAAAAATTGGGAATTGGGGATATTGGGTCTCGGGTGGAGGAAAGAGGGACTTTTTTTGTTTAATTAAAGGAGAGGCAAACAGAGCTTAATAAGTGTTTGTATTTAGTTAATTCTGGAATCATGCTTTTTTAGAGCTACAGTAAGATTGATCTGAATACAAATACCATAGATGTCTGGTCATAGACTCACTAACTCCTGGTGGAGCTGGATCAGAAAAAGCAACGGTGAAGGGTGCCACCATCATCATGTTCCAAAGTAATAGGCAAAGTCCTAGCATTTCCACTAGAGGACCATGCTTGTCCCGCAAGATATGCAATCTGATCCAGATATGGACACAATCAAATCCTTTAAGTCTTAGGGTTCCTACGATCTAGGAATTAGCGTGCACCACAAATAATCATAACTCCTAAGAGGGTACAATATCTACTTCTAGATATCCTTTAGGATTCAGAACTAGGATCCATCCTAAAAAGGTCTTTCTCCACACGGTATAAATACACTATTCCAGAGATTTCTTCTCGTGTTGGAAATTTGCTATGCTCGTTAGAGCAGTTGTATTGTTGTCAGAATTACTGGCTTCATCATAATAGTTAATAATAGCTTGTCGTCTCGGCATGCGCTCCGAAAATAGTTGATAATAGCTTGAACGTCTAGGCATGCGGTCCTGAAACACCCTTGTAGGTCATAATCGGCGTGATGTCGAAGCTTCTATCTTTATTGTCACTATGATACATTTCTTTCATCATTTATCATGTCGGAGCCTGTTGGTAACTAACAACAATGCGGTGGTCAAATCTGCTAATCTTCAATTGACACAACCTAGCAGCTGTATGTATTCGGATCAGGCTTCGCATGATGCATAATCTTGATCTTCAGCCTCTAGTGAGGCCTATAATAATAAGGCATTTGACTTGAATGTGCGCTGCCATCCTTTCGAGTTTATCTTGGAAACTTGTTACAAGAAGCTTTTTCTTTCCTTTCACCATTACGCGGGACACCGCACAAGACCTCATCTCTTCATTGAAATAGAGGCCTTCGCTGCACCGCTATATCTTGTCTTATGCCATAGTTGTTGTCGCATGAACCGCAAATTAAGGATGCAGTTGATTTTTCCTTCTTGCGGTTGATAGTGTGTAATAGCAAACGAAAGTCGATGACTCCCGAATGTTGTGGGCCATTGATTTTTCCTACAATCAAAATAATGACCAGCAGAGATTAAGACGACTTCTTTCGGTGACTCCTGGATGTTTTGGGCCATTGATTTTTTAGGCTGATTGCGTTGCCCTCAGTGTATTGTCATTTGTCTATACTTTTGACAGCATTAGGAAGACTTCTGGTACTATAAAGGCCTTATGATCTTTCAATCAGTCATGAAACATTGTTGCCTTCGCTTTTGTTATTGCTTACGGTAAAGTGATCTGGTCATGAGGTTTTCATTGTTGGAATCAGATTTGTGCACATTCGCAAACACAGCTAGCCCATGATCTCCGATGAGAGGAGAATGAAGTTAATTGGGGAGTGTGGTTGAATCCGAATAGGGCTGCCTACATATCTTTAGAAGGAGGATCAAACCACAGGTGTAGTTCTAAGAAAGAATGGCATGAACCATCCTTGACGAATAGCCTATGGCGGGGTGTTAAAGAGATGAGTTCTCCATGGATGTGTCTTCATGTAGACAGCGGAGTTCGGACTATATTAGGCATAGAGAGAATGTGTGTGTCGTCTTGAGAGAGTCTGAGAGAGAGTTGATGTAGATGTCCTCCTTCGATAAATACCATGGCTAGTGTATTTATAGGAATCTTGAGTGTCCTTGTACACAAAGTAATCTTCATTGAATCGGGAGACTATTTAGGAGGAAATCTAGGATAAGATACCCAAGCTTCCTAGAATTTTGATTATGTTGCCTAACCTCCAAGATATCCTAATTTGGCTTTAATTAAGGTTCCTTGCTTGAAAGACAAGTAGTATCTTTAATAGACCAAAGTAGGGGTGGACGTTGGTTGGTTGGGTTGGTTTTGGGCCAAAACTAAAACCAAACTGACCTAGTCAATTGGGTCAAAATTGTAAACCGAAATCAACCAAGCTGGGTTATTAAAACCGATAAGGTCGGTTAACTGACAATGACAAGTTGGTTTGGATCGGTTTTCTATTTGTGTGAAGACAAAAATACATAACAAATTCATTTCCCAAAAGTTATAGAACGTAACACCAATATGAATGATTGCTCAAAGGAAAACATAAATGATGCAGCTTGAGGAAAGCACACCAAAGAGCAGCTGCTACCATCTCCAAATGGTGCCTCGTGTTTTTCTCACACTCTGTGTTTGCTTCTATCTCTCAAAATGGGAGACACGACTGATCTCTTTTCCAAATGGGAGAGTTGAATGTGTTAGAATTTAGGATTATTTTGTTATTTGAATTTGAGCTTAGCCCATTAGTATTAGGGTTTTGTTTTCTTGCTTATTAGGGTTAGGTTAGTTCTCTACATATATGATGCTTTGTAGCTCGTAGAATGACAAGTCATTCACAATGTGGTCTTTTAGGGTTTTGTAGCCGTTTCGGCATTCTCAGTTAGTTTAATAATATTCTTATTATTCATTCTGCACTCTAATATACAACTTGGTATCAGAGCAGGTTTGATCCTTTGGGATTTAATCTGCCCTTGATTCGTATCAGTTTGTTTGTCCGTCTTGTTCGTTGTTTAGATTGTCGTTGGTTTAGTTTGAAAAAAAAAATATGTTTGCTCGGAAGTCGCACCACTCCTAGACCCCTGCATACCTGAAACCCCAGCCAGCAACTGCAGCTTCAAACTTGGCGTGCCCAGTTTTTCTGCAACTTGCCGCTACTGTTGATTGAAGTCCAGAAACATACCCACATCGCCGCCACTGTCCACCACCACTCGTTGCCAGACCTGCCTGATTAATCCGCACCCAAATTTGTAGCCATTGTTGCCCCACATTGCTGCAGTTTGACCCATTTGCATCTGGACCTGGTTCCTGCACTCGCACCGTTACACATTATTCCTGCACTTGCACCGTTTTCTGATGAAAACCCAGATTTCTGCACTCTCGTGTTTTGCAGGTTCTTTATGGAGAAGACCACATAGAAAAGAGGGAGAGAATAAAGAAAAAAAATAACAAATAGAGAACAAAGAAAAAAGAAAAAAAAAAGGAAAAAAAGGGAAAAAGGAAATAAAAAAGAATGGAGCTTGCTTGCTTGCCTTGTCATGTCCACCTAACAGAGCTTGCCTTATCGTGTCCGCCTAACAGAGCTTGTCTTGTCGTGTCCGCCTAACAGAGCTTGCATCTGCATCTGCTTGTTGGCAAACTCATGATGTGTACCGCCACGAGTTTGACGGGGGGTGTTGGAATTTAGGATTATTTTGTTATTTGAATTTGGGCTTAGCCCATTAGTATTAAGGTTTTGTTTTCTTGCTTATTAGGGTTAGGTTAGTTCTCTATATATATGATGCCTTGTAACTCGTAGAATAACAAGTCATTCACAATGTAGTCTCTTAGGATTTTGTAGTCGTTTCGGCATTCTCAGTTAGTTTAATAATATTCTTATTATTTTGTTGGTCTTGTTCGTTCCACACTCTGATATTTAACTGAATGCTCTCCCCCGAAGGTGTGGCGCTCATCTCTCTCTTGTGCATTTTTTTGGTCAAATCTCTCCTCTGCATTTAATAATCACAAAGGCATCAAAATGCCATTCATAATTCATTCCTCTATGCTTTTTAGGCACGTAAAGGTTGCCTTTCCTTTTTGTTGTTTGCTGTTTGAATGAAAGGAAAAGTGACTCTTAAATTAATCATGTTTTGTTTTCATGTGGTGAATACACGGTAACTCGTAAATAACTAATTATTTATATTACTACACATATTAATTAAGATTAAAAATTAACATAAATATATGTGGGTCAATTCGGTTAACCGCATCCTAAGAATTTTGAGAACCGCTTGCCAAACTGATTAAGGTTGGTGCGGTTCAGTTTAAACATTGAAAATTAAAAATAAAAAAAATAAAAAAAATAAAAAAACCAAACCAAACCAAGCCGCCAGTGCAATTTGGAGGTTCAGTCAGTTTCTTTTTTTTACTGCCCAGCCCTAGACCAAAGCCAGCTTGCCGGACTACGCTCTATGGGGCTCGGGCATTCCGGTCCTTCTCGTCGTGCGTCATAGGCCTAGAAAATCATGGTCCCACAGATACAGTCTAAGCAATGAACATATGGTATGTATATATGGTGTGAGTTGTGACGTTCTTAGGCAATTTCTTTTTTTGGTGGAACTCTTAGACAGTTTAAAGAGTGAAAACTTAGAGGCTATAGAGATGATGCAAATTAGAGAGAACAAGTAAGGTTTTGAGATAAAACACACTTTCTTAGTATTAGTCCATTTCCACAACACTGTTAATTAACAAGGGGAAATAATCATGTCTTCTTTTATTGACCAAACAGAAGGAAAAAAAAAAAAAAAAAAAACAAGGGAACAAAAATACAATATTTTGCATATGAAAGAAAACAAACTATAGCCATTTCCATAGAGCTCGGATGGCTAGCTAATCGCCAGGACAGCAGGTCATAGGAGCTTTAATTTGTTGAAACTGAAGGCAGAGCAAGCGTTGAAGAAAAAGAACTACCTTCAAATCCTAGTGCTCGGGTTGCTTGGGTTGCTTGGGTTGTTTGGGTTGGTATGGTTGCTTGGGGTATTGGTTTGGTTGCTTGGGTCGTTAGGGCTATTCATTCCCAAAGTGTTCTTCACTGCATCAGCTGCTCCTTGAGCCATGTTTCTAACTTGCTCACTTGTCTGCAGTCAAATACATATAGTACATATGCTGTAACGTATGTATATAGTACAAGAGAAAGACCAATGCTATTCACGTTCACATGTCGTTGTTCTACACTCATTCCATATGATTATTTAAAACTAAAAATAGAAGTATTGAATTTGGAGTGCTGAAGACCAATAGCGGATCGAGTGTAATACCAGTTGCCTAACAACAAGGGTGGAAAGCACTAGCTTTTATCTTACTAGTTAACAAAAATGAGTGATGAATTGATACTAATCAAATTGACTTATGTTAAGTGAAATTTGAGTAATTCTTTACTAGATATCTAATAAGAAATATATTATCTATAAAAAATTGAATAATGATGAAGGAGATCGCAGGAAGTGGTTGCATGCCTGTTGAAGGAGGTGGGTTGCTTGGTCCTTGATGTCTTGGCCAGTATGAGAAGCATCAGATGCCTTGTTCTGGGCAGACTGAGATGCATCTGATGCCTTGTTTTGGGCAGACTGAGATAAATTTGATGCCTGGTTTTGGGCAGACTGAGCTGCACCCGATGCCTGGTTTAGAAACTCATCCTTCTTAACCTGTACAAGGTGTGGATCAGAAATGAAACAGTTTATTAACTTGATAAGTGAAAGTTGATTACATTATAACCAAATCAAATTCAACATTATTAATTACAATAATTAACAGTTAATAATTTACAGTTGCTGCAAACGTGGGCATTGCTACATTTTGCTAGAGTGAATGTGCTTCGCCTTTACACTTGAGTTCAAATCTCCTCGCTGCACTGAAAATAGAATATAAGAAATAAAACAGCCATATATACCTGAGCTTGCCCAGTCAACTCGCCAGCTTTGTGACTCAAATCCTGATTTTGGTGGCTTGCCATTTTTGTGCTTAGTTTTTTCTTCGATGAAAATGAATCAAATTTCAGATGAAGAATGTAGGATGCAAAAGTGGTTCCATTTGAAAACTATATATAGGTTTGTGGAAAGTCTCCTCTTCTTGGCACTTCCTTGTTCCTACCCCAATTTTTGCGTGTATTCACTAGCGTAGTTGTGGCATGTATTGATGTAGGAATGTTTCAAACAAGTTTGGCTTGTCTTAGTCAAGAAAGAGAGTCCCTTGGCATAGACTCCGGTTAAATTAAAGCTTTAAATACCTTAAGAAATCACTGGTTCTTTTGTCTTGCTGATCTATATCGGATCAGATAATAATTTTGGCTATCACAGGTGTACAAGTGTTTTATTCATTAGATTAAATTTTTACAGCTATTAGATCTTTTATTTTCAATTTCACTCATTTTTTTTCTCTATACTACTCCCAGATTTAGTTTTTTTTTTTTTTTTTTTAACCTTTTCTAATCACATTTAGTTGATTGAGTACTATCTCGTTTATTTTTCACATGATAGCTATCACATTGGGTACATTACTTTCTTGTGAGCCGTGACACTGAAATGATAATTCATAGCTTAATGATAAACTTAATTGAACTAACTTTTTGGCTGATGCATACATGCTTAAACCATAAGTATCACTAATTAGTTTCCTCTCTAACATTTTGGCTGATACTAGCTTAATTAACTATGTATCTTTCACATGCGTACGTAACATATGAACATCACATAAGCAAGCATTCTCCTAAGTTAAATGAAAATACCATTTTTTTTTAAAGAAAAACAAAAGAGAAGACCTTAAGAACCAAAACTACATACTGTAACCTAATACTGATGTGGGGGAGCAACTGGAGCTCATTGGAGTCAAATGTTATGTGATGCTCCATTGATGATCGTAGCATTAGTTTTACGGATTTTTGATTTTATAAATGGGACAATACTTGTGTCCAATCTTTGGGTGCATTTTCTACCAAAAAAAATCTATGGGTGCATGCATCAGCACACACTTATGATTAACATATTTATACAGTATAGACATTCTAATAGAAAACGTTGATTTTTATTATAATCATCTAAAATTATCTTCATAAAAAATTAATGAAGTTAGACATTGTTAACTAGTACTCCATATATATCGAACAAACCGGCATCTTTCCATGAGGGTGTTAGTTGTTAAGTACGAAAGTTGTTAATATGTTTGATACATATAGCTAATTAAACCATCTATAATTTGATTAATTTTTTTTGTAAGAAAATTAACATTTTTTTTATCATGAAGTTTGTACGATACACATGTTAATAGTAAGTGGCTGAACAAGTAAATGCACCTAGTTTCATTATATATGTGTATGATTAAACAATTGCCAATTTAACTATAATTTTTTGTTGATATAATCTTTTGATGTTGATTAAGAAAATGTATATTATTACTTTTAACATATGCACCTATAAAACTAGGGGGACAACTTGGTTGGGTCAAGCTGAATTTGCCCATGCCCAACCAATTGACTGAGCCAACCAATTTCAAGCTCCAAAGCAATTTCAAGCTATCTACTATATATGTTCGGTAAATTTTCACCAAATAAAAGCTTTAGGAGGTGCGTCACAGGTCTCATCATCCTCTTCATTGTCTTCTTCGTCGACCAACCCTTCTGAGGTTGAAAATCAACGAGCTTGGTCGTCTATGTGATAGCTAATGCCGATAACGTTTGGCCACCAAGAATTATTTCTACCTCTCGATGAGCTGCAAGATCTAGAGTGACAGCGATAGGAAGGTACCGTCTACACCGATAGGCACAAATTCCTAAGTTACAGATGATTTCCTCATCGTTGTCTTGTTTGTGATAGAGCGAGTCTCCATGGTCATAAACTTTGTAGATTTCACCACCGGGTCCTACTGCGCGTGCCAAATGTTGACCCTAAACTAACGAACCTATGTAGCACGCAAACTAAGTAATTAAGAGCTAACTACATCATTCTTGTGGCTGATGCAGGCATGCCAACTTGCCACCGAGGTGAATCGGGCGAGTAAGATGAATATAATGGTGGTGTCGAATCATGATGTTGACTTCTGGATCGAGCAACTACGATTGAGGAAGGAACACTCACGGTCTAGGGTTTTTAGAACCTGAAAACAAAGTTGTTAATCTCATTGTGAAGTTCAGGATCTTCTGCACCAGGTTTGGCGGTTTCAACTATATTCGTCAAAATATAAGTGCGCTTAATCGATATCAGGCTGTAAAGGCAAAGATACTCAAAGGAAATGATAGTCTTTATAGTGAAAGTTGTTTGGCCAGATGAATGTCGAACTCTGAAATGTACCTGGGAGTAACCAATCATAGAACGCCCTTATTTTGCTAGAAAGGTGATAAGGTGACCTCTTTCAGCTAAGGAATCAGAAATCTTTCACTAGTTGTGACTTGGATAGATAACCAACAAGGATAAGAGAGTGTTGTTGAACCAAACTGAAGGTCTCCTAGGCCAGATAGATTCTACAACTGTATGCAGTTTAACCAAACTGAAAGTGTCACTATTGTTAACACAATGATGTTTAACAAAATTGAATATCGTGTAGAGTGTTGATTTGTGTATTGAGTAGAATGTCATTTTCTCATTGTGAAGCCTTTTCTGTTTATAGGCAAGGCTTCATGGATAAACAGGTTTGCCGAGGCATTTACCTGAATATTTCAAATTATGTTAGCTGAAACTTAACCCTGTCTAGCCTCGGTCTCTCCATTTGATCCAGGATTTTGAACCTAGTCTCTTTCTGAACTTAATTCATTCTTATTTGATTAAGCATGAATTCTAATCGCTCGAACAACTCTAATCTTATCAAAATGATCAATTGCCAATCGTTAACAGTTTTAATTTATCTAGGAATCAATTGAGCCCTGCTCAAAGGTGATCTCTTCACATTCCTTTAATCATAAGGACTTGGTTGGGCTAACGTCGTCTTGAGCCGAAACACCCTTAACTAATAGAACCAATGTTGGGCCAGACATCGGGTCTTCCTATTCCAAGTTACTCACTCTTGGCCGATTTATGTTTTGGGCCTAAACTTACTCACAACATTCTTTTACATCTTTCACAATTTCTAAGGTGCGGACAACACTTTGTGGACCAGGTGTGCAGACGGAATGTGGTCTGCTAGATGAAAATTGAACGACTGAAAATGATTCCATCAGAATGAGCTTAGGATGAAACAGGGTCATACATGATCCGTCACTTAATTAAAATGGTACCCAGCATGCATTCAAAATTTCTTGGGATTTAAATTGTACCCCCTGACATCAACATTTTCCCTCTTAAGTAACTCTTGTCCTCCTACAAAAACACTCATTCTCCTGCATTTGCTTAAACATCGTTGTCATTGAAAGCATCCTACCTGTTTGAAAACTTGCTTCCTATTCCAAACCCGGTTATAGTTGGTTTGTGCTCGTGTTGTTCGGCCTCACATAAATTCCAAACAGTAGTGAAGCAAATCAAGGGACTTTGGTGGAGGCTGTGCAGTGGATTACAAAGAAATGACGTGCTTTTTGTTTCATTCGAGCTGGGTTCAAACTGCTTCCCGCGATAACTGTGGTCATATTTTATTCTCCCTGTGAATTTCAAATTTGGTGAGTTTTGAAAATGGAACCCTATAATTTCATTTTGTTATTTCTATTAAGCATTATAAATTAAGTTAGGTGTAAGGTTAATTATGCATGTTCGTGGATGTAATTAGGTGGAATTTGTCGATATATGTCAATTTTTTTACAAATTGGGGTGCGTTGTGAACTTGTGAAGCTATGTTGACAGGTTGTGTAGATGCTAGGTGATAGGATTAAAAGCACACCACAAAGTAGCATAGAAATGTCCTATTGATTTTCCTTAAAAACACTAAGATTTCTCAATTGTAGCATATGAAAAAAAGGGCATTTTCCGCAGAAGATTGTTTTAACTAACTACTTAAAATGTCATAAAAACTGGGTTGCTGTCCTTACTGACCAGCCACCGAAAAATAATTATTAGACCAACTTACGCTCATCTAAAGTCTACAAAATTTTATATGCGGATACTAGACACAAAGCTACAGCCACACAAATTTTTGGGATTTTTGGAGTTGATTTTCTATTAAAATTAAATCCAACAAAAACAAGATAGAAACAAATTTTAAGTAGTTCACAAATTAAGAAAAACGAGTTAGGGGAATTTCTATCCACCACCAAATAATCATGCAAACATGTTATGTTTCATTCAAATTTCTTTTATTTCCGGATGAAGATGCTCAAGTTGGCTCAATGTTAGAACTCAACATGTTACTCTTTTTTATGTAGTATGTTAAGAGAAAGCCTCCTTAGCATGCAATCTAGAATGGCGTGTTCATAGATTTAACAAGTAGAAATCATTAAGAACGAAAAGAGTTTGAGTCATCACAAGGCATCGTAAGTACTAGCGTTGTCTTACTTATCCTAGAAATTGGTTCCCATGTTAATCGCAATTAACAAGAACTACTCTATAATATATGTAGGTCCTCATTCGACAAGGGCAGACACACACATATTCATAGCGTTAGAATCCTAAATATGCTTACTAAGTATGCATCCGTAGAAAACACATAAAGAATTCATCAATGAGACAAGTAGTGAACCAATTTTCATCCATTCATAAAAGTAATTCAACGAAATGTCATAACAAACTTGCAATCATATTCGGGGCTTCAAAACAGCCTCTAACTTCTAAAAATTAGTTACATATAATCCTTAAATTAAACCAAAAGTACAACATGGGTATGAGATGATAAAACCAAAAAAAATTGAGGGAGGCCTCCTTTTCTTTCCTTTCTTCCTCAACGCTGGTGTCTTGCCTTTTTTTCTTCCTTTCCACTGCCACCTGCAGCCGTTTTTTTTTTCTTTTTCCTAAAATTATTTCTGTAAAAACTGTCCTTTATTTCCTCCCCCAACACTCCTTTAAACCAAATCTTGTTGCATCATTTCCATAACTCCCCCCCCCCCACTAATAGCAATTTAGTGATGACAATAAGTGAAAGGAAATGGTAAAACAATTGTAACTTTTTGGGCAGCCT